TTTTTTTTAGGGTGACCACATGTTTTTTTTTAGGGTGACCACATGTTGCGCAGAGGACATTTTGGCAAATCGCGGATGATGCGTTTAAGGACCTCCAGGCGGAGCAGGGAGACAGTTTGTCAAAATACTTTCAGGACATTTTCAGCCTCCGTGCGCAACACAGTGCGCGATTATTCAACCAGAGGGGGCTGCTGCTGCCCCCCCCCCCCCCCCCTTTCCTGCTCCACAAAAAACTGAGCTGAACTCAACAACGTGGACCCAAAACCATCTGAGAGGGCTCGTGCAGGACATTAAACTTTAACCCGGCTTTACGAGCGCGTCCATGAGCCAGCTTTTTCTCCTCGTGTCCTCAGAGAGCGGAGCAGAGCAGAGACAGTCTCGCGCAGGAGGAGGGGGGACGGACTTGGACTTCAGAGAGACTCCGGAGCTGCAGGGAGTGAGAGATCCACAAACTCCTGACACATCTTCAGCTGCTTGAAGGCACCATGAGCAAGGTAACTGCGCAGTTCGGCTGCTTTTGTTTGGAGTTGACGCACCGTAAACAAACAAACAAACAAACAAAAAGTTAAAGCGATCGGAGCTACGTGGTTCTGCTCCCCCAGAGGAGACCGACCCAGCAGGTCCAGAACCAGGAACAGCACGTGAGCCTGTTGCGAACATGTTGCCAGAGCACTTGGTGTCCATCTGAGCAGCTGCGGACACAAGTGTTCAATTAGAGCAGAACAGGTTTCATCAACTGAGGTTTGAACACTTTCATTTAAAACGCTGCTCACGCGTGAAGCAGCAGGTGGTGACGTGTTTCTGAACTTACTGAACTCCAAACTAAAAGTTTAGACTTTCCAAACTTTTAATTTGTAGATGAGACTTTTTTCTCCTCAACTCTCAGGATTCTCCTGATGGATGTTTGAGGACAAACTGTCGATCAAGAATTAAACTTTAAATACATTCAGCCTTTATTTATACAGGTGAATCCCACTGAGCCTCTGGACTCGTTTACAAGAGACACCTGATCTTCAGGTCGCAGGTGTGTCCACACACCTTTAACTGGTCCCATTGGACGATTTTTGTTGCTCGTCCACATCAAAATAAAAAAATACTGAAAAATCGACCATAATTTCCAGACTATTGAGCGCACCAGAATATAAGCCACGCCCACTAAATTAAAAAAGGAGAAATAAATTTGTACATATATATGCTGCATTTGTCTATAAGGAGGGTCTGCAACCTGCGGCTCTGGAGCCACACTTTGGTTCCTCTGCAGCGGCTCCTTCAAGCTTTGACCAAAACTGACATAAAACTGAATTTTATTGGTTTTACAACAACTAAAAGGGCTCGTTTTAATGGTTTTACTGTCATTAGTTTTGTAAATATGTGAATACTAGAAACATTACAAGGAGTAAAACTTACTTTCACTTTACACTTTACAATTAAAAAACCACATATGCATAGTTTATTGTTTTAGTTTGTAGAAACTGGGCAAAAACTATATTATGTTTCTTCTTTACAAGAATCTTGTTTATTATTTTGTCTTGGAGTGTAAAAATATCAATAAATGTTAAAAATCATTAGATATTTTTAGATTTATAAAATCACCCCTACCGTCCAGAAAAGTGCCCTCCAACAAACTTAGTGGTCCGTGGGCCACCAGTTGAGAATCCCAGTTGTCGCAGGTGTTGTGGCTCCGGACACGTTTAGTTTTGTGAGCAAAGGGGCAGAAATGTCTCTTTTGATCGTAAAGGTTGCAGACCCCTGGTCTATAAGCTGCGGGTCTCCATGTTGTAACATGAGAGATTTACACAGATATATTTTTAACTTTTAACTAAATATGTAATATATGCAAATATTTACAGTAAATGTTTTGATCTAAACAGTTCCTGTAACACGGCTGGTTGAAAAAACAAAAACCAGTAGCCTACCAAGAAGTCATTGATTGCACCTTCATCTTCCTGTTTGGTAATTTCATTGTCAGATTTTATTTAACCGTTATTTATACAGGTAGTCTCATTGAGTCACAAGGACCCACCCCCCAAGGGAGACGGGCAGCTACGTGAGCGCCCGAGTGTGTTCAGGCTAAATGTTCTGGTGACGTGAAGCTTGTTAGCCCGTCGAAAAACAAATCCATAAATTAGCTGCAGCACTGTATAATCTGCAGTTCAAATCGTGTGGAAGAAGTAGCTTATAGTCCAGAAATTACAGTCACTTTTTAAACTTAGCCAACCTTCACGAGAAGTCTGCACTAAACCAAGTATGATGTTTTTTCAAGCAACATGAGAAACAATAAACTTATTTTACATTTAAAATATCATCCCAGATGTTAACAAAGGCCAGCGTGGGCCCGTGAGTTTGACGCGCGTGGATCAAGAACGACGCGCGTGGATCAAGAACAAAACAAACGTGTTTAAACTCCAACCTGATCCGAACGAGTTGCCGCCTGAACTGCGACAGGAAACCTGCGACGCTTCAAGAACTGCGCTCTACGGCTTCATTCTGTCGTCCGTGTTGGCCGGAGGTGCCATCATGGTGCTCAGCATCATTAAATATGAGTCCAGCTCAGCACGGAGGGAGACGGATAACTCCGTAACTGCTGCTAAAGGATTTGTTGGACGTTTGCATCTTCATAAGACGAACTGTTTGTTTTGTGGTTAACCGAATGAACGACACGACGAGTCCTGTTAGAGTTCTTTGGTGTCCCACGATGAGCCTCGTGGGCAGATTGAGTTCAGCTGCAGCCTTTTCCTCATGTTGAACCACGTGCTTTGAGGACTAACACTAGAAAGAATAAAAGACAAGCAGGCTGTTTACATGTTCAGCACGGAGGAGACATGTTTTACGGATCTGGCCCCTAAAGTTGGACCCTCTTCCTCCTCCTGTTCGGTGCAAAGTGACTTTTCACGAACCTCATGGGGTTCTTGTCCTGCGAGGATAACGCCGCCCTGACTCATTCTGTTGTGCAGAGAATTCACTCTCCCTGAACACAAGCAGGAACAAAAAGCTAATCTTTTAATCGGTGATGTTTGACACTTCCAGATTAACGAACGACCTCATTTGTGAGTCAGCGAGCAGCTGTCAGGACAGCTCGTGTACAAACTGATAATGTAATCTTTAATAATGCTGCAAAAAGCCACTGTTCTCACAACTTGTTGCTTTTGATCTGAGAGGATTTTACTTTGTGCACATTGTGATAACGTCTTATAGATTGTGTGATGGTTTTGTCTTTCCGACGTCATCAGGCTGGATTTGTGTCAGGGATCTTTTTGGCCACTTCAAATATTGTTCTGTCATCCAGAACTAGACCGTTCTCGTTCCAAACGCTGTGTAGGAGCGACATTAATTCCATATTATGTGGAACAGCATCAGTAGAGTTACTGCCAAAACAAATGTGATTTGTAGTCAAGACTGAGCATCACTGGGCTGCAGCTGTTGGTGGAAATATGGACAGTTAGACTTAAAACTCATAAATTGAGCACGTTTATGAATGAATGTTGCACGATTTGTACAAAACTCCTGTTAGTGCTGGGTGTGCAACGTCGTCCCACCACCGCTGCATGAGCTGCTCATGATGGTAGCTGTAACGTTTGAAGGAACACCTAGCGATTAGGACTGAAGAGAACAGACTCCAGGACCCGATAAATTTAACGGTGTTTATTAACAAAGTGAATAATGTCGTCAAAGCTGCACGGGGAGGGACTGGAACTGGTGGGGATAGGAGTCAGTCGTGGGCACAGCTGGTCCAATGCTTCCAGGGTGAGGGAGGGAGACGTCCGGACTGAGTGAGGCAGGTGAGTGGTAGGAAGAAGAAGAGGAGGCAGCTGAGGAGGTACAGGAGAGCTCGAGGTCCACAGAGGAAACCTCAGAACCAGCTGGACGGCAGAGAGAACACCGTAAGCACGAAGGAACACAAGTAATCACTTATCAAAAGCACAAGGGCCAGAAACACAACTACTATTGGCAGGTAATGCTCCAGCGTCGACTGGATGTCCTCTGCAGCCTCTCATCAAGGCGATGGTCCACAGGTGTGGCAGAGCAGAACTCCCACAGTGTGTTAATTAATGGAGAAACATGGAACATATGGACAAATTGCTTCTTCTCAGTCCAGCATTGGTTTTGCCTTGAGATGTCAAAGCCATGTGGACCTCAGAGGGAAGCTGCTTCATGAAGATCCCACCTGGATGAGGACCGGACGGATCCTCTGAGGCCTGCAGCAGGTCTTCATGCTGCTGGACTCACGAGGGGCTCATAAAATCTGCTCTCCATCCCCTCACAGTGAGCTGGAGAAGACTTCTCCATGAACGATGTTTACTGTCAGCAGCTTTAATTCCTGGGCCTTTTTTTAAAACGTAGAGCCTCATGACGCTTTAAGTTTCACGTCAGTTTTTTGTCTTTCCCCCGTCATATGGTTAAATTTCAGCAACTGTTAATGGAACATTTTATTTGATCGATGTTCTGTTTAAAGTTCCTTAAACGTTCACTCATTTAAATATTAAATACTGCAAGTCTTCTCAGAGAAATGTAAAAAATGCTACAAGTGCGCTGTAAATGCAGCAGAAGGGACAACTGCACACGATAAAGTGACAGAAACCCGCAGGAGTGCGGCGTTTCCTGTCAGTTCAGCTGATCAGACTTCAAATCTGTTAACTTGTGATTAATTATTAACTACAGCAGACCAAGAGAACGAGGCGGCAACATTCCTCATCTTCCAGCAGAAGGTCGATCAGTTCGATTACAAATAAAAAAAATAAACCGGATCTGCACGTTTGTTTCCTGTGAACAGTTTTTTTGTATCGTCGTACGTGTCGATATAAAATTCAAATTTTCCTCTTCCAGAAACTTTGTGGGACCAATTACCCGCTCAGCATCTGCTTCGTAGTGGTGAATGAGTTCTGTGAACGCTTCTCCTACTATGGCATGAAAGGTAACAGAAAAACACATTTCTGCACAGTATGTCTTATGACACGTAATATTACATCAGCAATACTGTTGTCTAATTAGTGGTTCCCAACCGTGGTCCTTGAGGGACACCATCCTGCATGTTTTAGTTGCTTCCCTGCTTTGGCACATCTGGTTTAAATGAATGGGTGATTATCAGGCTTCTGCAAAACATGAGGAAGTGATTAATTCACTGAATCAGGTGAGTTGCAGCAAGAAAACAACTAAAACATGCAGGATGGAGTTCCTCAAGGACCTGGGTTGGGAACCACTGGTGTAAATCAGTGGTTCCCAAACGTCTCAGCTTCTGACCTGCAAAATAACAATTATTGTATTTTTATATTTTCGGTTGATCGACAGTGAAAACACAAAACAGCTTAAACTCATACTATACTGTCTTTTTTTCTTTTATAGCTGTTGTTTTAATTTATTGATGGTAAAATATGACAGTAGGAATTATTTTAAAATTTTGTTTGGTTTCTGGTGATCACTTCATGACCTCCAACTTGGCGTTTTGTGGCCTGCAGAGGGGTTGCGACCCTAACTGTGGAACAAGAAGATTGGGCAAATGTAAACAAAGTGTTGAGTGGGAAATGATGCTGATTGTTACAGATTTTCAAAGTAAATAGAGGCAACAGATAGTCATTAATAAATAGATAAGCCTGGAGTCGCCCTCCTTCATCACATGACACACACATGCCATGTGACAGTCAAACAGTCGCCTGAAACTTTAAGATTAGCACGTTTAATCAAGTCCATGCTTAAAAAGCACATTACACTGTTAAATATGCAGATATATTGTGGCAGATTTAGCTAACAGCTGATTTATAGTTTGAAAGACAAGAAACATATAAAATATAGAACACAATTAATACCATCAAGTATGGATTAATTGATAAAAGAAGTACTCGGTGACCTTTCCAAGGTGTACGCAGTGTGTTGGGAGATTAATGGTATAAAATTGTTGAGCGTGAAATCATACAGGACGTTAAAATATAGACTTTAAACTGAACAAATACCCATTCATTAATGTTGGTGGATCATCCATACATCAATGGACAAATCAAGCCATCCATCCATTCACAAAGGACAGATGGATGGATGGATGGATGGATGGATGGATGGATGGATGTATCCGTGGATGGATGGATGGATGGATCTGTCCGTGGATGGATGGATGGATGGATGGATGGATGGATAGATGAATGGATGGATAGATGAATGGATGGGTCCATGGATGGATGAATTGATGGATGGATATGTCCATGGATGGATGGATATGTGCATGGATGGATGGGCACTTCCATCAATCGTTTTCGTAACTGATTGATTTCATAATCTAATCTGTT